CCCACGCTGTCCTTGGCGCACCCCAGGTGTGTGCCCACCTGCCTGGATGTGCTTCCTCACTCCTCTCCTGGCAACCGATCACTTAAGGCTTTTTTCCACTTCCCATGGATTGGCCCAGGAAATAGCCACTAGCTCCAAGGAGTTAGTGAGCACTCAAAATGTGGCTAATGGCACCAAGGAACTTAATTTTGTATTTTATTTAATTTTAATTCATTAACAGTTAAAGACACACTCAACTCAGTTATTGCAAAATGCATAAGTATGTTTGGAATGATTTGGTTTTGTGAATCTACCTTTTCAACTGTTAATTTTATGAAATCTAAATACAGACTAGGTATCTTCTATGAAAACTTAGCACCTGAATTAAGATTCCTGCAAATGTAAAATTCACACTAGATTTTGAAGACAGTACAAAACCAAGAAAGTAGATCTCTTTATTAATCTTTATATTGTTTACATCTTGAAATGATATTGGGTAGGTTGGGTTTAATAAACTATATTGTAAAATCAATTTTACTTTTTTTTTTTTTTTTTTTTACTTTTCTAATGTGGCTACTAGAAAAATTTTAATTACGTATGTGGCTTGCATTATATTTTTATTAGACAGCCATGCTCCATATTCTAGATTCCTGAAGCAATCATCAGTACAGTTCATTTAAAACTTAACATATGCAACTTAAAAAAAAAGCTTTATCTTTACATAACAAAATCATTAACTGCTTTTAATCCCCAATGCCTAGCAGCAAATACTATTATTATCTGGCACCTGTTTTGGGCCTGGCACCTTGTCAAGTGCTTTACATGTTACCACACTTAATCCACTCAGCAACCGAGTGAGGTGTGGGCATAAGTAGCTCCATTTTTCGGACAAGGAAAAGCTCAGAGAGGTTAGGTGGTTTTGCCAGGATATTAATGGTAGACACATGAGGTAGCAGAGCTGGGATTTGAACGCACTGATGCTCTTTCTTGATAGGGATGGGCACATACTAAGTATCTGCTGTTGATGATGGCTTAAGTTCTAGTTTCTTCACACAGGCAAACTCTATCGTCCTGCTTGCCCCGCTGTGAACAGGCTACTTGACTGATGTCTATTATGTGATGATATGTCCTAATCATCCTGACCGCACACACTCCTCCAGTTAGTTCAAGTCACTTAATAACCCATGATGTGGTATTATCTAGCCTTTCCAAGATAGCATAGTGTGTAGTAAGATTCAAGACTCTGGTTCTGACAAATGGGGCCAAAAGTCTCTTCTCTGGTCACTGCATAGGTCCCCACAGTCCCAGAGGGTTGGAAATCTAGCTCACAACCCTCAGAAATGCAGGAAAGTGATTTGGGATAGGCAGATGGCACATACTCATTTAAATTATATACATTTAGTGAGGCTTTACAATACACCATGCTAGATACCGAAGATACAAGGTAAGTTAGCTGTGCCCTTGCCTCAAAAGGCTCACATTCTGATGCAATAGGTGATAGATGGGACAATTACAGCCTACTGTGACAAGGGCTCTGATGGTGGGAAGTGAGGATGCTGTAGGACCTCAGAGGCCAGATACCTAAACCAGCCTGTGGAGGGGGAGAGGATAAGTATTACTCTCAAGGGTGGCTGAGGGAAATGCTACTGAGGGAAATGCTTCTTCCACGAAACTGGGTTTAAATTGAAGGAAGGAAAAAAGGAAGGAAGGAAGGAAGGGATGATACAGAGGGAGAGAGGGCAGGAAAGGAGAGCGGGGCGGAGAAAGGAATTGAGCCGGGGAAAGAAGGGACAGGGGATCGGAGCAGATAGCCTGAGATCCAAAACAGGGAGCACTTTGGGTGTTTTCTACCACTGCTGGCCAAACTAGAAAAATGGCAGGCACTGTTGGAATGGGCATGGAATTCACCAAGAGCAATTTGTCAAAAGAAATATCTCCTTAAGAAAATGCTATTATTCCATGAGATTACTACGCTAAAGGATGAAGGGAAGGCTTTTCAGAAATACCTCCTGGTTCCTGGCTATTGATAAAGTGCCCACACTATTATTTGTTCCTTCATTTATGAAGATTTAATCATTAAGAATAGGGCTGTGGAGGGACAAATCTTTTGAGGACAAAATTGTAGGTATATAATTTGTTTAGATTTTCTAGCAGAACTCATGTGCTTTCCAGGTGAGTCTATTGGGTAAATTATGTCTGTCCCAAGGGGAGTTAAATAGCCCCCCAAATTCTAATTCTTTAAGTGCTGTAACAAATTAGCTAAGAGTCTGTGACTTGCTCAACTCTTAGAGAGAAAACCCCCTAAGGCAATAGGTGTTAATCTTGATTTTTACATTAATTTTTTGAGGTCACATTGGTTAATAACATTATATAAATTTCAGATGTACAACAATATAATTTACTATCTGTATACTCTATTGCATGCAGCCACTATGGAGAACAGGATGGAAGTTCCTTAAAAAATTAAGAATAGAACTACCATATGATTCAGCAATTTCTCTTCTGAGTATTTACCCCCCAAATACGAAAACACTAATTCATATATATATATATGTACTCTTATGCTCCTCATAGCATTATTTACAATCGCCAAGACATGGAAATAACCTAAGTGAGCACTGATGGATGAATAAAGAAGATGTGGCATGTACGTGCGTGTGTGTGTGTGTGTGTGTGTGTGTGTGACACTACTTAGCCATAAAAGATGAAATATTGCCATTCACGACAACATAGACGGATCTTGAGGGTATCATGCTAAGTGAAATATGAAAGCTGAGCACCCTTCTGTCCTCCCGAATACAGACACAGGCAGCCCTGCGGAGCTCGACCTCTCCTGGAGCTGGGCTGAACGTCGTGGGGGTGACTTCCTTCACTTTCCCTAAGGCCCTGAGCAGGGTGAATGGATACCTGGAGACTGGTCCAAACTCATTATGTGTCTGCTATCCTATAAAGTGCTCATTGATTTCTTGCCCAATGTGGCCTTGGGAAGGGCAGTGACACTCCAGAGCCTCAGCGGGCTCCTACCAGAGGTCCCCAACCAAGGACTAGCTGATAAATGATTTAAATGCAGTTTCAACATTTCCCTATTGAGATTCATTGTAACAGCCCAGGAACATGGGTGTTTTTGAGTCTAGTTTAGACCCCGTGTCTGTAAAAAGGAGTCAGTTTAGATGCTATCTCATAATATCTTCCTAGCCAGTATGCACTTAGTTCCAGGCAAAGAGAAGTCCTCATGTCAACCAGTGCTTTAAAGGGTCTTGCTCTGGCCCTCTCCAGGTGCTGTCCCTACTCATGGGGTAAGGCCAAGGGACCCGCCCAGAGTCTGGACTTCCTGACCCCTCCCCACCGACCCAATGCCAGATACTCAAGATTCCAAAGTTCCTTGTTTAATCAGTCCAAGTCTGTTCTCCTGAGTCTGTCTTCAGGGGACCCTGTACCACTAGTGTGCCCACCATCAGGCCTGAGGGCTATCCAGTAGTGGCTATTGGTGGGTCTGTGCACAGAGCTTGAGCATGTGGTCTGAGGCATCTCCTCATTACCCATGACCTTGACAACATAGGTACAAGTTCATCAATTGGACAAGTAAACACTTGACAGAAGGAAGCATGATGCCATTGATTGGAAGCTTGCATTGTCATCTTATATAATTCCCCCAAGTACTCCGAGATTATTATACCCACTTTATAGATTAGAAGACAAAGCTCATGCTCTTAATTTACTGTGTTGACATCTCCACCTGAAACTCTGCTCTCTGGTTGAGGTGATTCCTTATGCCCACAGTGCTGGTGGGAAATAATAAATCCCACCCCTCTTCAGAGTTCGGATTTAGGGGGGCCACCCCTAATACGCATATATTTTTCTCATTGTTGTCTTAGACTCTTTTGACCAGAAACACATCCAGTTGCAGGACACATTAGCAGCTGTGAATGAACTTGAGCATAAGAAAGAGAAGAGATACATTTAAACCATAAACCACAGAAGGAAAGGCTCAGGAAAGATACAGCAGACAAACAGACCATGACAATGTTGCTAAAGTTTCAAAGGGCATTTAAAAAAGCCTGGTTGCTCCTTCCTCAAAGAGTTTAAAACGGAACCTCTCATTTTGGACAGACACAGTGCATTTGTTCTATAAATTAATCGTCACGATGAATCTTTACATATAACTGCTCCCATTTTACAGATATGACAGGCAAGGCTCAGGTGTGTTAACTGATTTCTCACCAAGTCCCCACCACCACGCTGCTACTGTGCTTCCTCTCTGGAAACGAAACAACTAGCAAACACTCTGCTACGATTTGTATAGTTTAGACATAAAAGTGGATTACCTTACTACTTAAGAGAATTTTTCAGATTATAGTTCTGTGTATTAGCAAAGAAAGGGAATAAAATCACATGTGCAAAATTTACTTGACACACATAGAGCAGCTTCCCCGTGTTTTATTTCCTCCTCTCGTCTTCTCATGGATGGGCCTGTCTCAAACTTCCTACAGCCAGGAGAAAGCTAATAACTAAAGCAAGAGAGGGATCTCGGTGACAGTATATCTTCTAGACGTCAAATTCTGTGATTCTGACTCAGCAGCTGCTGCTTTTCCCTGAATGCAGCCATGACCTAGTCCTTCTTTTCCTTAGCAGCTAACACAGGAGTTTGGAGACAGATATATTGATGACATTATTTGTTCTGGTAGCCAGCCTGCCACAGTCTGACAAAGGCCACATGGACTATGTCTCAATGCCACTGAGTGAGTTTTTACTGCTTAACGGTCAACTTGACCAGCTAACACACCCTGGCATTTATACTGAGGCAAAGACTAGTTCTACAAGCCGTGACATGTGGCTCTAGCTGGCTAGCGTGGTTCCTAGAGCATGCTTCCTGGAAGTGGCAGGTCCGAG